ATCAGATATATCCGCAGAAGTGATCGCTTATTACAATTGTTTTATGTTGTTTCGGCCAAAAATCGATGTCGTATATTACAGGTAACTCATACGAAGACTCTATAGATAAACTATTCGGTGTCAGAAATTTTTGCCCGTATTGACAGGTGCCCGTCGAATGCAGGTGGTCGCCTAAGCAGTTCTCACTGTATATATATATGCAGTATAGTTATAACTCTTTCATTGTATAAAGACATATATAAATATATATGTGTACATAAACACATATTATTTTTTAAGGTTTTTTCGCCCAGCGAACAATAATTAATATTGATATTTAAAATAAATTAGAATTTGAAATGACAAATTTCAAAATAAATTAGAATTTGAAATAACACACTTCTAATAAATTAGAATTTGAAATGAGAAATATCAAAATAAATTAGAATTTTAAATGAGAAATTTCAAAATAAATTAGAATTTGAAATGGCAATTGGCAATAAATAAACATAAGGCCATTACTAAAAATCAAAGAAAAATAAGAAGTTATTAAGCAATTAATTGCAAGTTAATTACTTTCAAGTGGAAGTAATTAACGTGCTATTAGTTTGATTGTTTTGACAATTTATAATTTGCAAACAAATGCTCTATTGAATTGAACACTTTTATTTTACCTTTACTTTCATAAAAGTAAAATTTAGTTTTATAACTTTCCTCGTGATAAGTTTCCATTTTATTTTCAAACAATATAGAAAATAATCGAAATATTATCGACTATTTAGTTTAAATATATTTTATTTTAACATTTTTTTACACTTTTAATGAGCAAGTTTTCTAATTATTACTTTTAATATATCAATTTTTTAAATATTAAAATGAACTTTTATAATATTTAAAAAAGGATTCTTTTACTCTATGAAACTATGAGTTCGAAACTTGTTGAAAAATACGAACAAAGGTAAACACAATTGCCTTAAAAATCATTAACTGTTCCTACAACTTTAAAGTAAATATGGAAAATAGTATTTTTAACACATTAGCCTAGAGTCAAGTATCAGAGCAAACGAGTGCTATAAGAGTATGCTGTTTAATGATTGTAAAACATTATAGATTTAGAAATTCTCACTGTCGTCCGTCCGGCTGTCTTTCCTTAATCTCGAGATCAAAATTAGATACATAAATGTCAAGATCAAATGTAGAAGCTGAAGGAATAAGAACCTCCAATTAACAATACACGAACTTCCAAAGCAAACCGGAAGTTACGTTATTTCAATTCAAAACTTTTCTTCCGAATTTAGTTAATAGATGACTGGTACGACTCTACTGTCAAAGCAAAAGTATGATGTAAAGGGGCAAGCCACTAAGAAATTGAGATGGAGAGCGTATGTTTTTAAAATAAATTTTATAAAAGCCAAAAAAGTTACGCAACTTATTGCTAGATGATTTTGTTAAATACAGCTGCTGTTCGAGTCACGTTTCATTCGACAAAAATGGTAAACATAGAAACTTCTCTGCAATCACAGGAATGTTTTTTTCACACTAGAAAAATCGCCAGTTTTTTTGGCCCCATGAAAAAAATTTTTTACATCAAAGTTACGACAAAAAGATTACAGATCCGTCTTACTGAACACCATAATGACATCTGTAACAAGTGCAATACTAAACTTTGTAGGAGTGTGGTGCAGAGAAATTATGTGCCGAAATGGAATGATACTTCGCTTCTAACCCAATATGCTGACAGAGAAGTTACTTTTATCTGAGAGGCGTTATTTACTGAACGATTCGAACCCTGTAGTAAATTTACGTTGGCCCTCCCAAGAATTTGGATAAAAATTTAAAAATTTGAGCGTTTAACATTTATGTCGCCATGATATTGCCTATTCCTGGTAATTTTAAATTGTCTAACGAAACGAAAATGTTTATCTTGTTATTTTAATTAATTTTATTTCATACCAATTTATCTCTACGTGCATGCGTATGTTAGTTTAAATTTAACTTCGACAATATGAATTCCAATATAAATATTTAACGTTGCTCTTTTAAAATTTATTATAGTACAGTAGTTATTTCTTATTTTAGGAGATAATATTCTGGCATGAGGAGAAATCATTTCTTAAACGAAATCATATGAAATTATTCTAACGGAAAAATACAGACCTCAAAGATTTCTTCACATCAGCTCTATTTTTAATGCCTCCCAAAACCGTGGAAAATAGATATTGCAGTAAAGTAGAAAATATTTTTAAACAGTTACGTTTATCTCAACGTATAGTGTGTAATAGGAATCAAATGATAACATTTCAGATAATATAAGAAATGACATATTACTCCCATCGTACTTATGAAAAACAGAAAAGAGAATAAAAAACAAATTGGGCCTGAATATGGCTAAGATATTTGAGATAAAGTTTGCCACGTGAAATCTATGGATGGGTTTGCTGATTGTAAGTTTAACATTTACTGATTAACGTTTGGAAAAATTGGCTTTACCATCTTTCGATTTTCTGTAACGTTGTGATATAAACAGTTCTTTCTTTCCCTCGTATTTGTTTGCGAAAGACATTACAAAAACAAAAGTTGTGAATTGAATACTGGTTAGATAGGCATCTTTGCTTTATCGATTAAATTGCAATTATTATGCAAAATAGCGCACAGGATAGTATAAAATATAGGACAGTAGTAGATTAGAAATAAACATCTACAACAGGGGTCGCCAAAATTTTTAACCGTCGACCCCCAACCACTTTCCAAAGCCTCACACTGACCCCCACAATAAAGTTTTATTACAAGTGTATGTGTATGAGCAAAAAAAAAACGTTGTGGTCTCTGTTTATACAAAGAAAAAAAAAGGTTGTGACCCCTTAGCCTAATCGACCCCCCAATGATGTTGCATCGACCCCTGGGGATCGATATCGACCACTTTGGTGACCCCTGATCTACAAAATATAGTTATAAATTTAAATGTAAATTAATAGTTTTATCATGAAAATAAGACGATTGTTCTCATGATGTCGTAGGAAATTACAACGGTTCTAGTAGAGAACAAGAAGCGTAAAGGTCGTCCGAAAGAGTTTCTGTGCTGAATTACCATCATAAATAGTAATTTACAGAAAACAGAAATTTTACAATAGGCAATTATTTTATTGCAATTTTTGGTTTGTTTAATTTAAACTATATGCATTTGTTCTTAAATCAGTAGTGTCCACCCTATGTATCATAATTTTCCTCTTATCAATAAAGTCGTGCCGATCAGCTGTTAACTCCTTTCAGCGAAAAATTTTTAAACTGAAATTACGTGACTTTTGGTTTGTCTCGAACGTACGTATATCAGGACTTCCTGCCCAAAAGCTTTTCACATCTTGTTTTTACAGTGGTGTAGCATGGTTGTCAGCCGCCCGAGGCAAAGGAAAAATTTCGCAGTTCCCTTATTTCGATATCGCAATTTAAAAGACTAAAATTCAATTTCGTCACAGAATAAGTTAAGTAATGAAAAGTTTCGAGTTAGTGTTGCAGTCAACTTCAAAATATTCTTCTGAGCCAGTTAAATTTAAAACTTAATGTATATTGAAAATAAACGTATGTACAGTTACAATTAAAGTTCACATATAAGAATTACAAACATTAGATATTAACAAAGTTCAAAGTAATCATCCACTGCAACAGGTCCGTCGAAAAAGCACCTTGCGACGTACAAATTCAAAGTTCACAACAATAAAACAAGATGAGACAATCTTCTAAAACAGCTTAGGCGAGCTAAGGTCAGCGTGAGTTCACTTCCAATGTCCGAAGCCGAACTGAACTTCCCGCCAGAACTTCAATGCTTTTATAGGATTGAAACAGCATTGGATTCCACCAATCAGCATTTACCAGCTCTATAAGACGTCCGCCTATGGTCTGATGTCTTTTAACCAATAAGCGGTCGAGTTTTCAAAATAATCTGATCGCTGTATCTATGGCGACAACGGTCGTTCATAAAAAGACGGGAAAACTGAGTGCCAGACGATTTTCATATCCCGACACCTCCATGGCCAAGGATCAAACTGAGCTTATTTAAGCCTGTTTGATTCCCTTCACAACCCCAAACAATCTTACAAAAATCGTCCGATGTCGGACTGACCCATACATCCGGAACATCCGGGAATTTTACCCGTCTACGTGCAGAGATGCGCGTAGACGGGTAAAATTCCCGGATGCCTAATAACCGCTTTCGTAAAGCCAACGCAATCCGGTATGGGGTAAACCGTTTCGAAATCCACCCTCCAGTAAGTGTCCAGATATTTTTCTTTTTCGGTCTATTACCGAAAATCGAGTTGTAATCATCCGACCCGTTATCCCGCTCCGTCTTTGCCGACGTCGGGGGAAGCGGAGGAACTCCCCTTACTCTCTCGTCCCATCTTCCACGATCGTACAGCTGTCGCGGGGACGGAGTTTGAACCAGTTCCCCGAATCTTCCGTCAGAACCAAGTATTATTCGTACAGCGAACGTTCGCCTTTCTACCACATCCGGCCATTCCCACCGAACATCCAATTTGTCATCCGGGAAAAACTTTTCCACGAGAACCGTATCCCCGATGTTATATCCCTTTTTCCGTGCTTCCACGTTGTAAGGCACTGCATACTCTTCTCGTTTTACGTCCGTATGCTTAGTTGCAATATCGTGAACCGCTTTGATCCGATCCATCTCTACATTCCCTACTTCTAACTTACGGGTCATTTCACGCGGAGCAATTTCCCTGCGGAGCAATTTGTCCCCTGATCGTACCACATCAGTTTAGGAAAGCTCGTCCGCGTAAAGAATCGCAACAATACCGAACAAGTGACCATCGCTGACAGCGATCTCATCCCTTCCACTTCTGACCAGCGGATGCCTAAATTTATTATGCAAACTGCGTTTCGACGACCGTTAGATGACAGGGGATCAAACAGTTCAATCTTGCCTATGTTACCCATTTGAAACAGGGTTGAGGACTGAGTAAGTGGTGTAGCTGGGGTCCTATCTAGGACTAGATCAGGCGCTCTTACTAAGCACCTACGACTATCCTGGCAGTATTTCCGGATGTCGGTCGCCATTCCCGCCAATCGAAGCCCTCGCGAACGCGACTTGCCAATTTCCGACTGCCAAACTGTCCATTGCACGGAGCTTTGTGTGCTAAATCTAACACTTCCGTTCTCTGTTTTTGGGGAACAACTACCTGATTAATGGGCCTGCCGAACGAACTATCTTGCCGATATAGTATCCCGTCCTCTACAGTTAACCCATCTTCCTTATGCTTAGCGGCCTCCCACAATCGAGAAAATGACTCGTCCCGGACTTGGGCGTCTCGTACTTCTGTTCCTTTCTCGTTTTCGGTGCTATTTTCACTGCACCCCGCCTCTGAGAGAGGTTCCGGTTCCTTTCCCTGATGGTTTCCGTTCCCATCTACCCTCAAACTCCTTACATGCCTTTCTCCCTTTCCCTGGAGCTTCTGCTTTCGGTCTACTAGCATCCGGTAATCCTTCTCCGATAACAAGGCATCCGTGGTCTGGTCTAACTCGTCCGTTAAGGCGCACGTCACCAGTTTCGACCTTCGCGACCCTGCGAAGTCTTTCTCCCACAGCCCTATCGGGACCGATACTAACGCCGCATCGATCCGGTGACCGAAGGGCCCAACCAATTGGATTCTCCCCTTCGTTTCCGTCACCGAGGTAGGTACCAACGACTCCCTTATAACCGAAATCCCAGCTCCAGAGTCAACTATGGCCGAAAGACAGTTTCCGCCGCATGCCAATTTGACTTTATTCGGCGCTGTTATGACCTTCGGTTGGTCATACGACGTTACCCCCGCTACTAAACGCCTCTCGTCCTGGGAATTGTTACTAGTAGCCACGAGCCGGGCCTGTTTAGGCTCACTATGTGCCTTCCGTTTCAGACAGTTTCTCCTCCAATAGTCCGTTTTCCCGCAGACATAACAACCATTTCTGTGGGGGTGTTCATCTATAGTCTGCGTCACGGGACTAGATTTCTCTTTCGTCTCTCTCCACGAGTCCCTTTGTTCGCCGTTTTTCTCGCTTTTAGTTGGGGACATGCTACTTGACGCCTTGTCAAACTTCTCTATAAACCTGGCCAATTCCGCAGGTTTGCTCCATCCCTTCCCTTCCTGCAATATCACATATTTCCTTGAGTCCTGAGGTAGGAGCGTCTTTATATGGTCCGCTACTGTTAGCTCAACAAGTCCTTCTAACGTCTCCACCTCTCTACTATCTACATAGTACTGATAAAGGTCTTTCAGGCGTGACGCGAATTGCGGCCATGTTTCTCCCGGATAGCGTTCCGTCCGCCTAAATCCCTTTAGGTATTCCGCAGGTGAGAGTCTCAACTCTTCGAGAATAAACTCCTTCAAGGAAGCGTAATGTTTGACCTTATCCACTGACAATCTTGTCAGTGCCGCTTTGCATTTTTCCGATAGCACGCTCAAAACTATTTGTCCCTGTAAATATACCGGGACCTCGTAGGTCTCCAAAATTACTTCGACCATACGAAACCAAGATGGTACTGCCTCCTCCTCTTCCGGCATTTTAGGCAGTGCCGCTTTTACCCTGCGAGCGTAATCGTCAAAATTTGCTTTGCCAAGATTGTCCTCTGCGTCTCGGGTCCTCTTTTTCAGCCTATCCCGCTCTAACTCCATTTCGGCTATCCTCACCTTAGCATCAGATTCGATTTTCGCGAGTTCAATCCGAAGCTTAAGCGCTTCAATGTTCTCCCGCGATTTGCCTCCCGTGCCTCCTGCCTTTCGTCCCTTGGTCGGCCCATCATTTTCCCAATCCCCTGTTTCTAAACTTCGCGATTTCACGTGTTTCGGCATCTCTGTGGTAGCGATTAAAATAAAATTTTACCTGGGTCAATGATTGCCGGTGTTGTTCTATCCTTATGTCCGTCGCAGATCAGCCTTTCCGATCTGTGGTGATCCAACGTAATCCAAGGTAGTCCTGTAGTAATCCTGTCAAAACTTGTGTAATCCTGTCGAGACTGCGCCAGTCAACTTCAAAACATTCTTCTGAGCCAGTTAAATTTAAAACTTAATGTATATTGAAAATAAACGTATGTACAGTTACAATTAAAGTTCACATATAAGAATTACAAACATTAGATATTAACAAAGTTCAAAGTAATCATCCACTGCAACAGGTCCGTCGGTAAAGCACCTTGCGACATACAAATTCAAAGTTCACAACAATAAAACAAGATGAGGCAATCTTCTAAAACAGCTTAGGCGAGCTAAGGTCAGCGTGAGTTCACTTCCAATGTCCGAAGCCGAACTGAACTTCCCGCCAGAACTTCAATGCTTTTATAGGATTGAAACAGCATTGGATTCCACCAATCAGCATTTACCAGCTCTATAAGATGTCCGCCTATGGTCTGATATCTTTTAACCAATGAGCGGTCGAGTTTTCAAAATAATCTGATCGCCGTATCTATGGCGACAACGATCGTTCATAAAAAGGCGGGAAAACTGAGTGCCAGACGATTTTCATATCCCGACAGTTGCCACCCTTTTAAAATCGCCGACTCGAACGGCAGGTGAGGTTTGTTCGAACAGAAGTTCCTGATGCATGCGTAATGTCATTTTGCAATGTGAAGAATACAGTAATGTGCAGTGCATTCCGGTTCTAAATTAGTTACAGTTAGGGACTAGGGAGACTTGCGTAAGAGTAACGTAAGTAACCTAGATGACTTAGCTCTATTGGATATTGAAGATGTTTATGAATACGATATTCCTGTACAAGATTATTAATAGTTCACCCGAACAGTCAGTCGATTCCCGAACTGTTTGGGTAGTAACACTATTCCGTGCTCATTTCAATCGGTCCGAATCGTAGGTGCGATGAAAATATGAAAAAAATGGTTCAAATTTTTACAAAATATTATTATTATTTATTGTGAGATTTTGCCGCCTCCACTACGCTACGCCACTGTGTCTCTACTTTTATCTATTGTGAGGTTGCCAATCCGCGCTAAAGGGGCAGAATGACATAGTAATTGCGCATTGTATGGGGAGCGTTGGGAACAGAGAAAACTCGTTCAGTAGCGTACCGTGGGTCTCAGCCGCCCGGGCGGAGGAAAATTCTGCCCCCCTTATTTAGGTATTTCAATTTAAAAAACCAAAATTCAGTTTTGTCACAGAGCAAGCAATGAAAAATTCGGTGGTAGTGCAGCTTAAAATAGTTCTATTGCATATTAGTGGTGTATAAGAAGGCGAATAAATCCTACAAGCAAAAAAAAGGCCAACAGGTTTCGCAGGATTTCCTCGGATAAAAAAGTTACTAGTTCACCCAGCGAGCCGATTCCCAGACTGTCCAGACGATAGCACTATCGTAGGCGCGATGCAAGTATAGATTAGGATGTTTCAAATTTTTACAAGATATTATTATCTATTGTGAAATTTTGCCGCCCCCTAAAAAGTGCTGCCCGGGGCGGCCCGCCCCTGTCACCCACACTACGGTACGCCACTGCTCTCGTTACATAAATTTTGGCCGGATTTATTGTAAAAGAAGGAAGTTTCTTATAGAAGTTCTGTTCAGCCTAAAGAACACCACAGAAAATTGCTTGTTCTTACTCATCTCTTCTTTCTAATCGTCACTCGTTACTAAGTGTAACGAGATCGAAAACTAGATCGCGGGATGAGTCAAAATCGTCTGTCAATTCGATGCCCATCAAAGATGGTTGATCTTAGGACTTACATTATTTTATTCTTTAAATACAAGAACTACTTATTTCTTTTCTTCATTCAATTCGAAGATATCCTTTTATGGTCGTAAAATTTTTACCGTTTAATCCATTTAAGATGGCAACAAAGCGCTGGAAATGTTATGGCATGCATTTAGATGGGATTGTAAGCAAGTGTAGGTTTTATTTCTGGTTGTTGAAGAAATAGGTAATAGTTTAATTGAAATCATGTTATTGCTCTTCCATTCCGGATCTCTCTGTATAGATAATCTGGGCCTACTTTCACTGTCGTTACCACTTTGATATACAGGGTGTCCCAACGAAAACGAAACGACAGAGATATCGCGTTTGTCCAAGCAAATCGCTCGGACAGGTCGATTTTATTCTCAAGGGTGACATCTTCTGCAATGAAGTTTTTGCGATTCTGAATACAACAGACAACAAATAAAGTAACACAAACTATTAAAAAACATAAAAAAAAACCTTTTAAGCTAAAGCTCTCCAAGACGTCCGCAGATGGCGTGATGTCTTTTAACCAATGAGTGGTGGAGTCTTCAGATGTTGTCGGAGTTGGCGACCAACATCGTCTGTCGAACGACTAAAAGTCTAGCTTAAAAGGTTTTTTTTATGTTTTTTAATAGTTTGTGTTACTTTATTTGAAAAAAATGTTTGTTTAGTTAATAAAAAATGAATAAGTTTTTAAAAATTTTGTTGTCTGTTGTATTCAGAATCGCAAAAACTTCATTGCAGAAGATGTCCCCCTTGAGAATAAAATCGACCTGTCCGAGCGATTTGCTTGGACGAACGCGATATCTCTGCCGTTTCGTTTTCGTTGGGACACCCTGTATATATGCTGCATATNTTAAAAACATTGTTCTCTTTACGATATTTATTAAATAAGTAACAAATATAATCTAAATAATTATTATATTGAGCTATTTCCCGATTTTACTTTGCCTTATTGTTATCATATTATTTTAAGTTGTCGTGTTTTAATTTACTTGCATATTAGAACAAATTGTAAAAATTGTTATTGCAAATTAATTTTATAATAATTAGAAAGAATGTATTAAACTTTTCCTATTGTTACAAGATATTCTATAGAAACTAAACAAATGAATTGAATTGTAAATTTTTATAAACATGAAAGCGAAAAAAGAAAAAAAAATAACGATTTGAGAATAAAATTATTCATAATTTGAAAAATTAATTTGAAAATTCAGCAACTCAAATCATTTGTAATCTTAATTTAATCGACATCTGATATTAATTTTGTGGTCAAGTTTTCTATTGAAAAATTAATTTACTTAAAATTTAATTGGAATAAAGTCGATGTTGTCGAAACCGTGACTCAACATTTCCAAAATACGTATATTTTTTCGTAGTTTTATAGGAATCGTAATTATAGGGACCGTAATTATAGGGGGTTGACTGTAAATGATACTTTTACTTATATAATTTAATAATTTTAATTTAATATTTTTAAATTAACTTACACGTGCCACAAAGTTTTTCATAATTTTGTTCTGGATAGAAAATCAAATTCTATAGAATGGGCCAACTTGACAAGTTCGTAATTTCATTTTTCGATCTGTTGTTGCTCTTTTCGTTCCTTATATACAGACGTGAAAGAGATTTTGAAAATTCTTTAGCTAATTTACATTCATAACGACTTTCTGTTTTGAACACGACCATTTTCACCGGCTTATGTTTTCGATAGTATATTCGATATAATTTAAAAAGTATTATTTGTCGGTTGACACTGGAGGAAAAATAGAAGAGATCGAGTTATCAAGTTGATCTTTTCTTTAGAGAAATGTTGTCATACTCATATAAGGTCATGCGTTACCATCAATCATGTACAGTGAAAAGTGATAATGTGACCAGTGAAAGGACCAGCTGAAAGTGGTTATATTACACAGGTTGTATCCTGGCGCAGATTTCACTATATTCGAAAATAACTCGTTTAATAAATTATACATTTATTTCGTGTCTAATACATTTTCAAATATTAAAACGATATGTAATTTTTACGTATTATTTGAATCAAATATCGACAGAAAATGTAAAATTATATAAATTAAACAATTGTTATAACTGAATTTCTGTCGGATGAATAATTATTTTTGTAGAAATTAAAGACAAAGTTACTGTAAAATTATGCAGACAATCATCGTTTTTGTTTAGTGTTCTAGGACAAATCATGGACAGCTGCACTTCTTTTTTTAGGCTACACAACTGCCCACACTTAAAAGCGTTCTTTAAAAACACGAGAAACTAATAAAGATTAAAAGAGTTCGTCCTTAAAATTGGAATGGTAAATTTTACGACGTCTTGTTAGTTCATCCTTGTCCGTTTGGGTTTCTGGCTATGATTTGTTCTAAAACACAAAATAAAAATGGTGATCGTCTGAAATAATTTATAGCGCGACTTTGTCTTTAATTTGTACAAAAATTGTCATAACACTTAATAATATTTTTAACTTATTAGGGAATTGGCATATGACACAAAATGCTGTATGAACATCAAAATGTAATTGTTGGTGATGATAATATTGTGAATGAAGATGTTAAATTCACATTTGTTAATGTCGCTGTATGTGGACTCTTATTAGTTTTTAAAATAGATATTTATAATCCACATACATATGTGCTATCAAACATTGCCAATAATTTTGCAGCAGATACACGAATTTCAATAAGCGTAGAATACAACTTCGTATGGCTAGTGTTTTACCACTAGCGACCATCGAAGAAGTCTACATTTTAGGGTTCAAGACTACGTGAAAAGTCGTGAAATGAGAATAAATAAATGAATGAAAACTTGGAGCAGTTTTTCTGTATGTATGAATATTATTGTATGTGTGTGTATGTAAAAAAATATTATTTAGTTCACTCTCAAACTCTTGTGATTTGGTAGAAAATTTCTGAAATTTGTCAGGGACGAATGTTTATTAGAAGGATTGAGGCTAATAAATTTTGCTGATAAAAATGAGAGGGTGTGGTAATAATGGGGGCGTATGTATATCCAGCAGGATTTAGACTAAATTAAGATTCCCCTCGTTATTAAAATTCAAAATTTTTATGTAATTCGAAACGATCTGTAAAAGCTGATTATTAATATAGATTCTATTAAAAA